AATAATTTATGACAATTACAGCCCACAAAAATAATTACTTTCCATGAATAATGCATTTTTTAGGGTTTAAGATAACCCCAGACTGTTGATTTTATTTCAAGAGATTGACATAATTATCACTGTAGAAAATAAATATAAATATGCTGTTTTGTCTCCCCAAGATTTACAAATTCATGTGGTAACTCACAACATGCTAAGCCTTTTTGAGATATTACTAGACATGATTCAGCCTAATAATAATAATTTTACACTGCACTGGAAAAACAGACAATATTTTTTGTTTTTGCTTGTTGGGATTTTTTAAAACTGTCTTTAAAGTGCCCTGCAGTTGTGGTTAAATAGCTTCTTTTAAATTTATCTTTAAGAAAAGACAGTACTTAGTTTAAAAAGCAAGGAACAGAAGCAGTTACAAGGTCACCCAGAGTGCAGCAATGGGATTTATACAGTCAATGTTTTCTTTTCCGTATGCATTCTCAAGTCCATTATGCCACAAGCACCTTTTTTTAAAGGAGCTGTGTAGTAGCTCTTGAAGGTAGGTTCATCCACATTAATAAAATGAATTTTTCTGTGTTGAACGGAATGATGGGAGTTGTACTCCAATGTATGTGGTGGGTACTCACTTTGGAAAGGCTGGTCCTAGGTTCACTGTTTCCTGAAGTTCAGGTTCTTCATGAATAGATCATAATGCTAAGCAGAAAATGTAGTTGGTATCTAATTCACTGCGTGCACAATTATTAGTCAAGTTGTATTTTTGAGGATGAATTTCATTATTGAACAACTACAGTGCTCTCGGTCAATCCAAAATGTTAATAAACCTCAGACCTGAATATTTAAGAAAGTACAAGTGAGGTTTTGGCTTTCTTAGGAGCATATCTATGTGTGCACAATTATTGGGCAACTATTAGTGTGCAGAATTATTATGCAACTAAATGAAAAACAAAACATTTCTCACATTTCAAACAAAAAATCAGTGACCAATATAGCCTTCCATTCAAGGAGTCTGTCAGTTTCTTGATCTGTTGACGATCAACTTTTTGTGCAGCAGCAACCACAGCCTCCCCGACACTGTTCAGAGAGGTGTACTGTTTTATCTCACTCATTTATTTTCATCTGTTAAAGTGAGAATAATAAACAACTCAAAATTTACAAATAAACATTTCTCACATTTCAAACAAAAAATCAGTGACCAATATAGCCTTCCATTCAAGGAGTCTGTCAGTTTCTTGATCTGTTGACGATCAACTTTTTGTGCAGCAGCAACCACAGCCTCCCCGACACTGTTCAGAGAGGTGTACTGTT